GCATTCTGTCAATCAAATTGCGGAGACGTGAGTCCAAACGTTCTCGGCGCATTTTGCATTGACACTGGGCTGCCTTGTGATTTCAATCACAGTACCTGCAACGGGAAGAATGAATTGTGCTATGGCCGTGGCCCAGGGTATGCTATAACGCTTGACGCATTTCCCTTACCATCATTACCCTCTCTCTGCAACGTATGTTCTTATCGGATCTTATTGTTTTTTGGGCCAGATACCCTGATGAATTCGAGAGCACACGTATAATTGGAGAAAGGCAGTTCAAAAAGGCTTCGGAACTTTTTAACAAAGCAACAGAGCAGCTGAAGGGAAGGATCGGGTATCAGCACGCGTATGTGGATTTCTCGAAACTGGAAGTCTCGGTTTCTAAACCGGGTGGCTTTGAAACTGTCAAGACATGCCCGGCTGCAATGGGTTTCGGCTTTGCTGCAGGAACTACTGATGGACCCGGAGCTTTCGATTTCAGACAAGGAGATGACAAGGTAGTAATAATACTCTTAGCATGCTTCAACTATTCTCACATTTCCCTCTAGCTTCTCTAGTTTTTCGAATCCTTGGCGAAAACCTGCTCGATGTGTTTTGAAGGGAAATGCTTTCTGGAAGTTAGTGAGGAATGTTCTGAGAACTCCGGGACCCGAACAGGTCGAATGCCAGAAACCGAAGCCCATCCTGCTCGATACCGGAGAAATGAAGATACCTTATGACTGGGCAGTAAGTGTGATCAAACCCCGTTTTTCGCCAGAGCCGATAAAATTGAACATAACATTTTCTAATGGCTCGTTTCTTGTGCATTGCAGCCCTCGATTCTTCCGGTTCAGATACTACGCATTGGCCAGTTCGTCATCCTCAGTGTCCCAGGAGGTAGCAGATGAGGCTCTCTCCCTTTCTTTAACGATCCTTAAACCCTAATTCTAAACCTGTTATTCTCTGCAGAATTCACAACAATGGCGGGAAGGCGTCTCCGAGAGGCTGTGAGATCGGTTCTCGCCTCCTCGGCCAGCAAGGAGTTCGGAAACAACGTCCATATCGTCATAGCAGGTCTGACAAACACTTACTCTCAGTACGTTACCACCTTCGAGGAGTATGAAGTTCAAAGATACGAGGTTAGTTTCAAAACTCGTAACTTAAGTTATGTTTTTTCTATTATTTTTGTACTTGGGATAATGGATACTATCCGGTTTATGAATAACCAAACCGAATATGCATCCTATTGCGTTTCCGGTTCTTGAAATCGGATTTCTATCCACCATAAAAAAATTTAATTCCAACTAAAACTAATTGATTGATACAGATACCATTTCGATTGCTGTTTTTTCTTACAATATATGTCTACAGGGAGCCTCGACGCTGTACGGACCGCACACACTCAGCGCCTACATCCAAGAATTCAAGAAACTAGCCACGGCGCTGGTCAACGGTCAAACCATCGAGTCGGGCCCGCAACCGCCTGACCTGCTGAGCAAGCAGATAAGCCTGCTGGCACCGGTCGTGGTGGATGTCACCCCGCTCGGCGTGAGCTTCGGCGACGTGAAATCTGATGTGGCCCCGAACTCGAGGTTCGCCCGGGGCGGTGGGGCGCAAGTGAACGTGACGTTCTGGTCGGCATGTCCGAGGAACGACCTGATGACGGAGGGCTCGTTCGCTTTGGTCGAGAGGCTAATCGACGGCGGCGGAGGGAGGTGGCTCCCGGTCTACGACGACGATGACTTGTGTCTCAAGTTCAAGTGGTCGAGGCCGACGAGACTGAGTCCCGAGAGCTACGGGAGGATAGAGTGGCGGATCCCCGACTCGGCCTCGGCCGGGGTTTATCGGATACGGCACTTCGGAGCTTCCAAGTCTCTTCTCGGTTCCATTACTACGTTCTCTGGCACTTCCAGTGCTTTTGCAGTTGTATGACTATGAGTTGGAAGATACTACTACTAAAATGATATATTTATTGGAAAAAAAAGAAAAGAAAAAGGAAATTAAAAAAAGGGACTGTGCCACGTGGGCTATACATACATCTGCGTGTGTGTGTGTGTGTAAATGCGTTGGTGCAATGCCTTAGCGAGATTTCAACTATTAAAGGGTAACCCACCCACCTATCTACTAAGCATCCAATCAGATTGATCATTTGTGCTTATCCAACTCAAGTTGCTTCCTTTATTCTATTTAAATAAAATGTTTGAATATTCGTCATATTTATATATATATATATATATTATATTCGGATTGGCCCGTAATCTACACTAATATTTCAATTGTTTCTATTTTATAATTTATTTTGAACTTTTTTTAACTCCCCAATTTCCAAGGCACCCCCATAGATATGCATTAGTATTAGGGAATTTGAATTCATTAGCAATTACGTATCTGTCGACACGGCATTACCCAAAACAGGTCTATAAAAAAAATGCCATTAATGATGTATTCAAGTCAAAATCACATGCTTTCCCATATTAGAATAGAACGTATATTATACAGAAAGCCAATATAAGGAAAATCTAAAATTGTTGCACTCTCTATATCATTTTGCTTCTATATTTTGGCCTCCAGTAGACAGACAAGATGGCCTCTCGCTAAGTGTAACAGTCCTATTCCACGTGGCGCTAGTTTACTGGCTCTCTTCTGTCACGATTTCTGGGCCGCGAAACAGGGGATCAGATCCGTTGTCTCGTTCCCATGGGCCATAGTGTGTGCGCATATATAAAGCGCAGGGAACGTGGAAAAATGCTTTTGCAGGTGAGGGACGGCATTTACTTGCAGAGGCCAAATTGCGTTGGTTGCAACACTCTCCTCCCTATTCCCGAGAATCTCTCGGCTTCCTCGTCCTGAGTGATTTCGATCTCGATTTCGAAAACCCTAGGAATCCTACCTTCTCTCTCTGTTTTCTTTTTGTTGGATCGGAGATGGTCGCCGATAGCAAGGCCAAATCCGACCTCTCCTTGGCCGGAACTTTCGCCAGCAGCGCCTTCGCCGCCTGCTTCGCCGAGGTAATCGCCGGATGCTTCTCCTTTTCTTTTTTATTTTTCCGAAGGATGTTCTGCTATTGCGTGTTTGTCCGAGAAATGTACGCCCGCAATCCGGAATCTGCAGTATAAGTTTCTGTTTCCTGGACGAGAAAATGGATCGGAAATTTTCACAGCAGATGAATTTCGTTTAGAACTTGGTGAAGCGAATTTTGATTGGGATGAGTTGAAGCTCAGACCTAGTTGATCTGTCCTGCTCTGGCTCCTGTGTTTTGTGTCGCATCGTCGCTAGAACTTTGGATGTTCTGTATTAGTCGTCCACATTCATCTGGTGAATAGATTTCGATGCAAGTGGTGCGATTTTGGGGTCAAGAGCAATTTAGTCAGGTGGATCCGAGGAAAAGAGTGAGCTATGTGTTTGTCTTGCAGCATTTTCGGCTGTTCTTTTGTCCGTGAGAAACATCGGATTTAAGCATTTGCCTATTTTGGTTATAGACGCAATTCGAGTGTGCAAACTGAAAGTTTTGAATTTTTCTGACAGAACCAACAAATAATTCTTTGAACAGGATATTTATTACTGATCATGCTTCTTTGGATCGTCCAAAACTCTTAAGCATTGCTATTGAAGGAATATGAGACACTAAACTTGAAAACTTGCAATTCTGTTCAGGATTTACTTGTAGCTCGTTGTGTATAGGGCTCACAATGTTTTGAAGTTTCTTGTTCTCTTAAAAACTGGACCAGATATGTACGATTCCGTTGGACACTGCTAAAGTTAGGCTTCAGCTCCAAAAGTCAGCCGTAGCTGGAGATGTTTCAACTTTGCCCAAATACCGTGGATTGTTAGGAACGGTTGGTACCATAGCAAGGGAGGAAGGGTTTGCTTCTCTATGGAAAGGTATCGTACCTGGACTGCATCGTCAATGCCTCTTCGGAGGTCTAAGGATTGGGATGTATGAGCCGGTGGGTTTCAAGTCTTTTACTCGTATGCTCTGAGACATGCAAATTCAACATCTTCCTACTGACTTCCAAAATCTTAACCTTTTGTATTCTCTCCAGGTTAAGAACTTTTATGTCGGAAGTGACTTCGTAGGTGATGTTCCCCTCAGCAAGAAAATACTTGCTGCTCTAACAACAGGTAAGTGTAAGGGTAGGATAGATCATCTATCTTAGAGAATCTTGGGAAATACACATCTTCAGATCTATGCTTCCTGCCTCTAGTTTGGTTAACACCGGTTTTCTTTAACTATCAGGTGCTTTGGGTATCATGGTAGCAAATCCAACTGATCTCGTAAAAGTTAGACTCCAGGCTGAGGGAAAACTACCTCCTGGTGTGCCGAGGCGGTACACTGGATCGCTGAATGCGTATTCAACAATTGTGAAACAGGTTGTCTATCCCACCATTGAAATAGAGGTTTGTTTGTATGTAATGCTTAGTGCCTGTTTCATTCACATCTTTATATCTGATTAACAGGAAGGAGTCAGAGCTCTTTGGACCGGTATTGGTCCTAACGTAGCAAGAAATGCCATCATCAATGCTGCTGAACTAGCAAGCTATGATCAAGTGAAAGAGGTACCGAAAAAATTCATTCTCTGCTTTTTCTTGTTTACCCGAGTAAGGAACCTGAATTTCGTCCATGTTTTTGTTCAGACAATCCTGAAAATTCCAGGATTCACTGACAACGTTGTCACACACCTTCTCTCTGGACTCGGGGCAGGATTCTTCGCTGTCTGCATTGGTTCCCCTGTCGACGTGGTACAGTATCCATACTCGGCAGTTAGCCTTTGTACACTCTGATTGCCTTTCTGGCTGATTTTCTCGTCTTGGATCATTTTCTTTTGGCAGGTGAAGTCGAGGATGATGGGAGATTCTGCTTACAAAAGCACTCTCGACTGTTTCGTCAAGACACTGAAGAACGACGTATGTTACCGTTCTCCTTAAGCTTGATTCCTCTGAGAATCCTTAGCTCCGAAACACTGTCCCTTCTAAACACTGTGTATTTCGTACTTTACCTCTCGCAGGGCCCTCTTGCCTTTTACAAGGGTTTCATCCCTAATTTTGGACGCCTCGGGTCGTGGAACGTGATCATGTTCTTAACTCTCGAACAGGTTTGTGAATTCATATATTCAAACCTCTGTTCCCTCCCTCTCTCTCTACCCTCATTTTGGTTCTTTGATCTTTTCTGATCCAGGCGAAGAAGTATGTCCGGAATCTGGAATCATCATCCTAGACTCGAAAAACAAATTTTCGTTAAGAGAATAAACTACATTCGCCCCGATTGAGAGGAGAAAGTCGGGTGAAGGATTGTTTCTGAAGGTTATAGAACCTTTTGCCTTTTCCAGCAAAACTGTGAAATAAATTGGGTCCGAGTAGAGTAACATTTATGTACTACTCTATCAAAACATATATACTTCGAAAGCAAGAGAAGAGAAAAACCCTTCCTTTTTGTTTCTCACAAAATCAAAAACAGAATAAAAAACAAACAAGAAGCCATGGAAACAAAAGAAACGAGAGAAAAGAAACACAAGACAGGAGGGATCATCAGCTGAGTTTCTTCTTCTTCTCCAGACCCCATCTCCGGATTCTTTCAACAAACTGGATGTCGAGCCTAAGGTACACCTCCCTTGATTTCTCATAGATTAACAGAATCAATCCATCTATCCGATCCTCGTATCGCTCATAGAACGCAGGAATCGTCATAACCACTAGAAGAGCTGCAAAAAAAGAAAACACCATAAGAGACTTTTGTCTGAAACCAAACACCATTGATAGATTGATAGATAGATAGAGATTAGTAGTAGTAATTACCGGAGTGGCAGAGGGTAGGGAAATCGGTGAGGCGGCCGAGAAAGGAGATTAGAAACAGAGAGATGGCTACTCGGAGAAACAACTTGGAGTCCCTGCCCAAGGCAATGTCCTGCCAAACACACAACAGCTTGTTCACATGAACCTGTAAGAATTCGGAAGCTTCCTTCGCCATTTCCTCCGTTAGATGCAACTCTGGCAGCGGCGGAGCTGGCCTGTCCACCCCCACCACAAAGCAACGAACACAACCAAAAAAAAAAAATACAAAGATCAGATATTTGTCCGATCTCAGAAAACTCTAAGAATCTGAAAACAAAAAGCAACACATTGGGCAGTCAAGATTCTCATATCCCCTGCCCAAGTTAAAAGTGATTGGATTTGGATCCTTTTTCCAGAATTTAAAATGGCTCTGGCTAATTATTTCCATATAAAATTACCCTAAGATTTTCTAATCACATTCACCATGGATTCAACAAGTTTCAGAAACGTACTCCGAAACAACATGTGTATATATATATATATGTATATGTGTTTGTGTGTATGCCTAAGTCCTACAAAAAAAGAAATGTTTTTTTTTCGGTGGGGGGATTGTACCTGTTGAGAATGGATGCAGATTTGGACCAAAGGAAGAGAATAGTGAGGAGGAGGAGGAGAACACTGGAGGAGAGAGACAAGAAGGTGTAACCGCATCTCTCAAACACCAACCATGACGCCATTGTCACTGTAACTATCCCCGCACTTACGTTCCTCTTCCTCCACATTATCACATCCGCAGCTGTTCATCCAAACAAACATAAAAAGGGTTTTCAACTTCACCAATCGAGGAGATTCCTCTGTGGTTATGATGCGGTTTCACTTACCAACGCCTCCTCCGAGAATCTGGTGCACACTTCTCTGTCTGTTGAACAACCTGTCTGAAGAAGAAGATGAACCCATTCTCCAGAAACTTGGATTCAGATGATGTCAGATCCCTTATAAGTTATAACCCAGAAACCGAATCCATGCGAGCTGCAGAGAAAAATCAAAAGGGTTGGAGAAAGGCAGAGACTTGGATTCGAATCTGATCAGATCCCTCAAAACCCAGATTGATGTCTATTTCTCGATGATCAGAAGGTGAGAGAGCGAAAAAGAGATGGGATTTCAAGTTGGCAATTTTCCTTTTGAATATTAATAATTCAATGGGTTGGTCTGTTCAAAAAAGCAGGATGGATGTCTGTTGTCCTCTCAATGTCTCGAATTCCAGCCTAAAAGCCTTACTTTTCTTCCCCCCCAACCCCAGGGGTATAAATTAAATCTCCTGAATACATTACAATAAATAGTTTAATTAATTCGACTTTTTAATATCAATTTAAAATTATATAATAATTTGTAAATCTATGCTGCTATATGTATATTTTTTAAAATTTCAGTGATACACATCAACTGATTTTTAAGCTTTTAAAAGTCTATCAAAAGGAAATATTCATGGATTAACAAAAATTACTATATTTATATGTTTGGTATTCAATTTCTTAAAATTTATATAATTGAAACCGAAGGATCTTAATATTTGTGAGTTGGAGGCTACAAAAGAAAAGTCTACCACAAATAAAAATGAGGATAAAAGTTTCATAAAAGAAGATATTTATAGACAAAAAAAATCGAGAAAGAATTGAAAGAGTAAAACATATGATGGCCGCATTTTTGCATTAGTTTACACAAAAACATCTCAATTTATAGGATACTTACCTCTGATTAATATTTATAAAATATAAGTAATAAAAGTAATAAATATATTTCCAATAAAATTTTTAAATTTGTGAGGAATTATTCATTCTCATTATTTTTACACAAAATTATGTGGATCCCACCATTACAATTTGCATTAAGATAGAAAAAAAAAAGTTTGCATTATCACATACAACACAGCTTTCAGATTCCATTTGTACCTTCAGCAATAAAGACAGTTATTTGAAAGATTGCTCAAATCTTTTAACAATGGCATTAAATCTTAAATCAGATTTCTTGTGTTCGTGAAAAAAAAAAGTAATCAAGGAACCCAGTGAAAAAAAAATTTTAATCAAAACGACAAGAATCAGAGAGAGATTCATCAGCGAAGCAGATCATAATGGTTTCTACCACTGTAAAGAAGCCTAACAGCGTTCTTGGCCTTTCCTTTACCCCAACCTCTCCTGAACTCTGCTCCATACTCTGCAATGGGGATAAAACCCGACCCGAATCCTCCCTTCCCGTGCTGCCCGTTCGTCGGTTCCGAAAAACATACAAAAACGACGGAAAAAACCTGTCATGAACTGACTATGACGGAACAACGAGGATGTTTTTTTTAGGATGTGAAAGTTCTTTTAGCTCTGATACAATGTGACAATGTGTAGAGCTAACTCTGATGAAGAGTTTTTCCTGACCCGAGATCAGAAACCAAGTCGGTGTTGATGGAAATGCAATCTTGGCTCGTAAAGTTTCAACCTTGAGAGCCGGGGAATTCGGTATATCGAGTATGAATTCATCAATTAGATCGTGTCAAAACAACAAGGGAGAGGAGGGTGTTTAGTATTTACCTCGTGCTCGGGTATGTAGACGATAATGGGCTGCTTACATAGCTTGGAAAGAACCTGTTGAAAATCAAAAACCCTAACATGAGCAAGAAATCAATGGCAAAAGCTGAAGAAACTATAAAAGGATTCTCAGAACTCACAAGTAGCTCGGACTCGCCTCCCCAGAAATCCTGTCTTCTAATCCTCTGGCAATAACTGAAAGAAAAATTCTCCATGACAAGCAATATAAACAAGTAATCTAACCATATACCGAATGGCAATGTACCGGTCGAGACAGTCCTATGAATTATCACTCACCGTTTCAGAGATTCATCCACTGTGATCGCCACTACGGCTTCTTCATACTTCTCTCTTTCCTTCGCATCATCACACATGACCTCCTTCACAGCCATTCGCAACTCATCTGCATAAGAACTTAGAAAATATGTAAAGCTTTTCGGCTCAGAAGATCATTTAAACTGATAGACAAAACCTATTCAGCTGGATAGGAATATCGCAAACTCATCGGGACGGATCAAACAAATCCAGAAACTGATAGCTGAAAGAAATCCTAGCAAACTAAACACAGCCAAATTCTCTGAAACTTCAAAGCCACAGAATTCACATTTGATGCACAAACATAAAGGTATAAGCCTGTATAAATGAATAGAATCACCTGCGTCATCTCTCTCTTGACGTGGGTTTAGCCTAAGACCCTTGTTGAAGGCCATACCTTTCACCTGCAATCATTGGATATGACATCTCTTAATGGACAAACGCATCGAGCGAACGAAAAATGAACGAGCAAAGAGCAGAAAATTATGCAGTACCAATGCACGAAACAGACAACGTCCATCCCCTGTAACTCTGTCCACCGAGTAATGCTCAGCCTTCTTCGCCGCCGGCGATCGGTTTCTGCCGAGAAACACGAAAGTACCGTGAGAGAGAACAAACCCATTTCTGTGAATTCAGCGTGAGTTCTGAGAGTGCTAGGGTTTAGGGTTTTGACGAAACCAGGAGCTACAACAGAACGAAAACGAAGACCCACAATGGCGTTCCGATTCTCGCGAAGAATGCGTAGCTGTTCCCGGTGGTTGCCCCAAAGAACGAAGCGGAAAGGGGAGAGGATGGAATTGAACCTGACACAGAAGGCGTAGGCGAAGATACAAGCTCGAATCGAGCAAACCCGTTTCTCAGCTGCTCAAGAATGCTATCTGCAGAAGGAAGAAAAAGCGATTACGGACGCCAACGAATTCACATTTGTGTCGGGAAAACCCTTGTTCGAACCCAGAATTTACACTATCGTGATCGGTATAAACGAAATCCTGAGAAGAAATTAGAGCAAAGAAACGAGAGAGATGGAGTACTACTGTCAGAAGGTTTGTTGTCCTCCATGGAATCTCTTGTCCGCAAAAAGGATAAGGGGAGAGAAAACAAAAACTCCGATTGAAGAGGAGAACCGAAGGGGAGCTACAAGATTAACGAATACCTAGAAAGACGAGGAACAGATGATTTCATAGACCCAGGTTCGAATCCACGCAAAGGAGAGGTTTTTCCCAAAAAAAATATTTTTTTTTGGAGAAAGCATTTTGCAGATAACCAATGAACAGAATCACACCACCTGCACATAACCTAACCCCAACAAATCCATTTTGACAAAAATTTTAATCAATCTTTTTTTGTATTCATATTCTTGTATGAACACCCATCAATGATGTGCGTTGTTGGGTTAATTTATATTATAAAAGGTAAACACTTGGGGAAAAAAACACATTTTCAAAGCGAATCATCTGATGCCTCATAAATGAAGTTGCAAAGTAATGTGCTTTTGATTCAATGAACTTTAAATCACATTATTCATATTTTAGATACATTTATTTTTGCATGAGAAAATGGGAAATAGAGAACATAACATTTAGTAGGGAAAATTCTTTTTAATTACAAAAAATAGTGTCACACGTGCGAGTCATGGACTGCACACGTGTCAGGGAGTAGGACTGTTCCAAGGACTCTCTCGTAAAAAGCTAGCGAGTCATAAGCGCCCAAGTAGTTGCCCAATCTGCATAAGAATCATCGAAACTCTTCGACTCGAAATCCACGCGCTCACACTCGCAACAATCAAATCTCTCTCTCTCTCTCCGTTCTAACGAAAGCCCAACCACGATATCATCGATGGCCTCTCTCCGCTCCTTCATCTCCTTCTGAATTCATCCGCCTGTATCGATCTTCTTCTCGGATCTATCTTTCTCTTCGTTTCAGGTGAGATTACATGAGCTGGGTTTTGTTTTTCTCTGATGAAAGTTCCGATTTTTAACCATTTCGGATGGGATTGAGATTTTGAGAAATGGGATGCGCTTGTTTGGATGCCGAGAAAATGGGGAGGGGGGGGGATAGATCTTTTGTGCCCTGCAATCTGATTACTCGTGTGCTGACTGTTGAATTCGTTAATCAGTTACTAGTTTTTTTAAGAACGACGAACAGAAATCTAATGTGTTTCGATTTCATGCTGCTTTACTGTCTAACACTGAGAATTGTTTTGTGTTTCTTTTTTTTCTGTCCCGTCGGATTTGTGCATTCAGAGGTTTTTTTTCTCACGTGATTCTGGAGTGTTTCCCTCCGACCGATTGAAGCATTGAAGCTCATCTATTCAATAAATGGCTTCGATATCACATTCATCAGTGGCTTTGGGAGGAAGCTCTGCTTCAGATTTTCTGCGAAGCTCTAGCAATGGAGTTAGTGGGATACCATTGAAAACACTAGGTAGGGCAAGGTTTTTTCCGAGGAGGAGGGATTTAGCCATAACGGCTCGGCTCCGTAAAATCAAGAAATTCGAGTACCCGTGGCCGGAAAATCCTGACCCGAATGTGGAAGGTGGAATCTTGACATACCTTTCGACTTTCAAGCCATTGAAAGATAGGCCAAAGATGGTCACCTTGGGATTTGAGAAACCGCTCGTTGAGTTGGAGAAGAAGATTGTTGATGTACGGACTCTCACTGGTTTTCAGAATTAATAATTACCAGTGAAGTTGGATTCTTGATCGAGTTATTATTATGATGCAGGTGAGGAAGATGGCAGATGAAACTGGTTTGGACTTCACTGATCAGATTATCTCATTGGAGAACAAGTACAGACAGGTAGAACTCATAAGTTCCAGCTCCGAATGATTCTTATTACATGAACTTAAATGTCATTGCAAGTTCTGTCCTTGAAAAAGCTCCATGTGGAGTGGATTGTTGATTTCCAAGTTCGATGATGATCTTATTGTAATCATTAACAGAACTGAGAACACTTGTTTGATTTGGTGAATTTGCTATTTTCAGGCAATCAAAGACCTTTACACACATTTGACTCCAATACAACGAGTGCACATTGCCCGCCACCCCAACCGCCCCACTTTCCTCGATCATATATTCAACATCACGGATAAGGTCAGGTTTCTCATAAGGGCCGGTCTTCTTCTTTTAGTTGGTGTGAATTCTTGTTTACAATTCTTGCATTTGTGTAACAGTTTGTTGAGCTTCATGGAGACCGGGCAGGGTATGATGACCCGGCTATAGTGACGGGTATCGGCACAATAGACGGGAAAAGATACATGTTTATAGGCCACCAGAAGGGTAGAAATACCAAAGAAAACATCGAACGTAACTTTGGGATGCCTACTCCTCACGGGTAACGTATTTAGTCAATACCGGTGGTGGCAAATTCAAAGAGGACATTCAGAATTTTGATTTTCATATGTTTTTAATTTAACAAAACAGCTATAGGAAGGCGTTACGGATGATGTACTATGCAGACCACCATGGTTTCCCCATTGTTACGTTCATCGACACTCCTGGAGCATATGCAGATCTCAAATCCGAGGAACTTGGCCAGGTAATGGAAGTGCTCTCTACCATTTTTTTCAGATTCTGGCAAGACAGAGATCAACTTGGGCGCAAATAGCAGCTTTGTCTGAGCAACGAACACCGTCTCTCGTAAGTGAATTCATCTCTGTTCCTAAACCCTGTCTGAATTGTTCAATCCATCCAATCACAAAACCTTTACCACAGACGGAATTTGCAGGATCTTTGATGAACTCTTCTGCTGTTTTTTTCATGTAGGATGGTCGGCGATACAGGAGAAAAAAAAAAGCTTCATTGAGCTGTTCTTGATTTAGTGGTGGTAAGTTTTTTTTTTTTTTTGGGCAGAAAAAAATGCAGAAACCCTAGACAGCGGGCACCAACCAAAGCCATTTCCTTTCAGCTTTATCTGCATTGGATCAAAAGCTTTTTGAGGGCTTGTCTTCTTCTAGATCCATTTGTGTATCTTATTTCGGTCTCGTTTTCTGTTTGTTTTTTTGCTTTTAAATCCGTTCTCTGGAACCTCCGTATTACATTATGCGACGTATTTTGCTGTCGTTTTGATGTCTCCAGCGATTTGGTCGTTTTATATTTACAGTTCTGCCATTGCAAAAAAACTTGTCTATATAATTTACTCTGCATTTTTCCCAAAGGAAGACTGTAAATACACACGTGCATTAATGTGTGTATATGTAGGAACAAAACGCATGTTTTTTTACCGTTTTGCCATTATGAAGTGTAGGGTGAAGCTATTGCCAACAATCTGAGGACAATGTTTGGTCTGAAAGTACCGATACTTTCCATTGTTATCGGGGAAGGTGGTTCTGGTGGTGCCCTAGCCATCGGCTGTGCTAACAAAATGCTGATGCTTGAGAATGCGGTATTTTACGTCGCCAGGTAAACTTTCGAGTTTCTGAGTGTTATTATCCTTTCTCCCCTGAAGATACAATGATATGGTAGCCCGATACAGACTGTTTATTCCCGGGTTTTTGTCTTTACAGTCCAGAGGCATGCGCCGCAATCTTGTGGAAAGACTCCAAGTCTGCTCCCGAGGTCTGTCCACCGTTCTTGATCCCGAGAATTACATTTTCCTACCCTTTTTAACCGATCTTGTAAGGTTGAAGTTACAGAGGACGAAATTCTTCTATGCAGGCAGCGGAAAAGCTTAGAATTACTTCCAGGGAACTGGTCAAGCTCCAAGTAGCCGATGGAATCATACCTGTAAGCAATCCTACTCACAAACTATGTTCATTAAGCCTTTAGGCCCACCTCTCTGTGACAATGGATTATTTGATAACTCCCATGGATTTGTGCACAGGAACCACTTGGAGGTGCCCATGCTGATCCGTCTTGGACCTCACAACAGATAAAGATTGCTATTAACGAGAACATGGACGTACGTTCAGATGAATATTGAATGTGTTGTCCCAACTCGGGGTTTCGTGGGGAGTGGAAAAGTTTCTGACTTTGGTCGTAGGTTTGCAGGAATTCTCAAAGATGAGCGGAGAGGAGCTGCTGAAGCGTCGGATGCTGAAGTACCGGAAGATCGGAGTGTTCGTGGAGGGTACTCCCGTTGAACCCAAGAGGAAATTCAACATGAAGAAGAAAGATGTGGTGTCCACTAACCGGGAGCTGGCAGACGAGGTCGAGAAGCTAAAGGAGCAGATTCTGAAAGCAAAGGAGGCATCACCATCATCATCGGAGGAAGAGCCTTCGCCTGAAGTCCTTGAAGAAATGATTGAGAAACTCAAATCCGAGGTTGACGATGAGTACGCTGAGGCTGTAAAAGCGATGGGTTTGGAGGAAAGACTGACAACTCTTCGCCAAGAGTTCTCGAAAGCAAATTCCGAGGAGCATCTGATGCACCCGGTGATGATCGACAAGATTGCTAAGCTCAAAGAAGAGTTCAACAATGGTTTGGCCGCTGCCCCCAACTATGAGAGCCTGAGATCTAAGCACACCATGCTAAGGGACTTGTCCAGAGCCAAATCTCTCTCGGAAGCAGCTTCATTGAAGAAGGAGATCTACAAGAAATTCCAGGAAGTTGTGGACCGACCCGAGAACCTAGAAAAAGTCGAAGGGATCAAAGCTGAGATTGCTAGCTTAGGCGTTTCAAGCTTCGACGAATTGTCCGATGAACTGAAGGAAAAGGTCACGAAGACGAGAGCAGATATCGAGTGTGAGATGATGGGTGTGTTGAAATCAATGGGTTTGGAGTTCGCGGCCGTGAATTCAGACCTGACTGAGCAGGCATTGGACCCAAGCGAAAACCTTCAAGACAAGGTTGAAAAGCTGAACCAAGAGATCACCGAGAAGATCGACGAAGTGGTGAGGACGCCAGACATCAAGAACATGGTCGAGTTGCTGAAATTAGAGGTCGCAAAGGCAGGAAGAACGCCCGGAGACGTTAACGCGAGGCAGAAGATCGAGGCATTGGAGCAGCAGATCAAGCAGAGGATCTCGGAGGCTCTGAGATCATCCGGGCTGACGGAGAAGCAAGAGGAGATCGAGAGAGAGATCTCTGCAGCTCGTGAACGTGCAGAATCAAACGGAAGCTTCAGAGGAAACGATCATGGAGATGGGTCGGTATCAGATTCAGATTCTGGCAAGACAGAGATCAACTTGGGCGCAAATAGCAGCTTTGTCTGAGCAACGAACACCGTCTCTCGTAAGTGAATTCATCTCTGTTCCTAAACCCTGTCTGAATTGTTCAATCCATCCAATCACAAAACCTTTACCACAGACGGAATTTGCAGGATCTTTGATGAACTCTTCTGCTGTTTTTTTCATGTAGGATGGTCGGCGATACAGGAGAAAAAAAAAAGCTTCATTGAGCTGTTCTTGATTTAGTGGTGGTAAGTTTTTTTTTTTTTTTGGGCAGAAAAAAATGCAGAAACCCTAGACAGCGGGCACCAACCAAAGCCATTTCCTTTCAGCTTTATCTGCATTGGATCAAAAGCTTTTTGAGGGCTTGTCTTCTTCTAGATCCATTTGTGTATCTTATTTCGGTCTCGTTTTCTGTTTGTTTTTTTGCTTTTAAATCCGTTCTCTGGAACCTCCGTATTACATTATGCGACGTATTTTGCTGTCGTTTTGATGTCTCCAGCGATTTGGTCGTTTTATATTTACAGTTCTGCCATTGCAAAAAAACTTGTCTATATAATTTACTCTGCATTTTTCCCAAAGGAAGACTGTAAATACACACGTGCATTAATGTGTGTATATGTAGGAACAAAACGCATGTTTTTTTACCGTTTTGCCATTATGAAGAGCATTTACAAAAACTGTAGGCCTATTAGTTTAGGCCCGTAATTATACGGTCCACATTTTATTATTATCTTTCGTCGCGTATGTGTATAATTTATGTCGGCCTAGTTAGTAATCTGTTTGAGCATCAATGCTGTTGACAGTTGCTATTAATGAACATTGACTACCGGTTCAGAATTATGAATTATACTATAGATTTAGCAGGTTTTGTATAAAATGAAATTAAGGGCATTTAAATAATTTATCGTGGTCCAATCTTGGTAAATAATTTTATATGATTTAATTTAGTTTTTGCTCTGCATGGGCTTTTCTCCTTTGATTCCTCGCTCCCCCGGCTTACCACGTCATCACTTACGTATATAGGCGGAGTCTCCAGCTGAACTAGAGGGTTTTTAATAGTGCGTGTTATAGAGATTAACAATATTGGGATGGAACACGTAGACATGCGCATGCATGCATGCATACAAATACAACAAAATCTATTACATTATGTTAGATGTTGAATAGAGACCCGCGGTCTTATTCAGATGTAACAAGCTTAGTCACTATCGAATGTCAAATTAATTAAATTCCATGGAGAATATACATAGAAACTATAATTTTAATTAATGTAAAAATAGACAGACTTGATGAGTAGACATTCGCATCATACACATATAAACGTTAAACAATGCCACGATTCTTGTATATTTGAAATATGTTTCAAAACTTTTAACTATGTTATAGTAATAGCTAAATATTACTTCAAAATAATTTGATTATTTGTTTTATATTGCACAGATAAAAAAAGAAAAAAAAAAACAAAAAGAACCTCATAGCAGGAAATATAAAGAAAATTTTAAAAGCAAAAAGCCGATTTTTTTTCAAAAAAGGATTAGAAAAAAAGCGCAAAGAAAGCGAAATGTGATGAAAAAGCCAATGGCTTAGCGAGGAGACATCGTCGAGCTGTCACTTGCCTTATGTTTGCTAATGTTCCCTCGAAAATTATCAAACTAAAAATATATATAAAAAAAATGATACATTTCTTTTCCAAAATTGCGCCAAAAAAATACGTTTTAAAAAATCATCCCAAAAAAATTAATTTCATTTTTAAAAAATTAGATTAATTTATTTTGCTTAGTTAGTTTGTGTGAAATATAAATATATACCAGTATATATATATTATTTAAAAATCAGGTAAAAAGAAGAAAAAAAGAGAGAGGTTTTAAAATAAACCAAGTAGCCAAACAGGATCTTAGTAATACGGTGGTGGGGACTCTGAGAGAGTTTGGGGCGTAACAGTCATTTTACAAGCGAGCGCCCCTAGACTCGATACTAGTAACAACGGAACTAGCGAAAATTGGAATTCCAAAATCTGACCCTCAATTTTTCCTTTATTCTGTTTCTCTCCCCTTCTTTTATAAATTGCTCCCCTGCTCTCACTCTCCCGACTCCCGAGTCTCCTCTCCCGTGATCTTTCTCTCCAGTTTCTTTTCTCTCACTACCCTTTGAACCAAACGTCTCTCTCGCTCGCTCGCGATCGTTCGGCATTTTCTGGGAATTCTCTCTCTTGAATCCCGGTGGTGAGAATATGAGCAAGGGGTGGTGTCGACGCCGTCGTCGGTTATGAATCCTACCCCGCCGCCGCAGCCCCGCCGTACTTTGTCCTCCTGCGACCAACACCCAGGTGAGCATTTTACTGGATTCTGTCCCTCTTGCCTCTTCGATCGTCTTTCTGTCTTAGAAACCGCCGCTGCTCCGTCGTCGTCGTCGGCTTCCAGGAAACCGCCGTTGTCCGCCGCCGTTCTCAGGGCCATCTTCAACAAGCCCTCCTCCTCGGGAACCGCCGCGGGTGTTGGTAACAGTCGGTGGGTCAGACCCGGGTTGTTCCCGGAGCTCCGGAGGACGAAGTCGTTCTCGGCGACGAAGAACGAAGGGTTTTCGGCTGCATTCGAGCCGCAGAGGAGATCCTGCGACGTTAGGGTTCGTAATACTCTCCCGTCACTCTGCAACGAGGACAACGGACGTAATTCTCAGACGAAATCGGGAGAGACCAGTGGTTGCACCGACGGCGCCGGCTCCAGTGGCGAGGTTGAGGCCGAACGCGGAAATTCCAGCGTGAGATCGCTGGTTTTTGACGAAAAAACAGAGAGTGGAGCTGAGCACGAAGAACAGGATGATTATTGTGGGAATCTGAACGAACCCAGAGATTCAATCAAAATTCTCGGAGGAGAGGAGGAACAAGCGGGTAAAGCTCGAGAAGGGAAAACGAAGCAGGTGAAGGAGCATATGGAGTTCAATTCGGAGAAGAAGAAGCCAAATAGGGAGTTCAAGGAAATCACGGGAACTTTTTGGTCCGCCGCGTCGGTCTTCGGCAAGAAATTGCAGAAATGGAGGCAAAAGCAGAAGCTCAAAAAGGACAGTAATGGACGCCGCGGAGGATCGGCGGCGCTGTCGGTAGAGAAACCCATCGGGAAACAGCTCAGAGATACTCAGTCGGAAATCTCTGATCACGGGTACGGTCGGAGATCCTGCGACACGGATCCACGGTTCTCTCTCGACGCTCGGAGAATCTCCGTCGACGCAGGTAGAGTTTCGGTGGACGACCATCGCTACTCGTTTGACGAGCCACGCGCGTCATGGGACGGATACCTGATCGGGAGAGTCACCGCTCCGCCGCGGATGCCGTCCATGTTATCCGTCGTAGAGGATTCTCCGGTACGCAATCACGTCATCCGACCAGATGCTCAGATCCCGGCGGAAGAGCCGCCGGAGATGGACGAAAATGCCCCTGGTGGGACTGCACAGACACAGGAGTACTACTCGGTCTCATCCTCCATGCGGCGGAAGAGCATCGACCGATCAAGCTCCATCAGGAAGACGGTCGTGCCAGAAGTCGACGAAGTTAAACCAATCTCAAACGCAAAGGTCTCACCTTTCCAAGACAGAGAGCTGAAAGGCTTGTACTCACGTTCACTTTCACATCCCCATTCCCATTCGCAGTCGAATTCTTTGATAGACGATTGTTCAGCCGAGAACTTTGATGAAAATGCGGACGACACGAAGGCGGGAAGGAGATCTAGGCGATGGAGATGGAACATATTTGGGATAATCCACAGGAAGAACGAGAAAAAACACAAAGAGGAAGAAGAAGAAGGGGAGCAATTCGGCAGCAGGGGAAGAAGAACTCTGACGGAAAGAACGTTATCGGGGTCGTGGAACGTGGAGACGAGAAAAGGGTTTGATCCGAGGATGATGAGGAGCAATAGTAGTGTGAGTTGGAGAAATTCTGAAAACATCGCTAGAGGCGGAGGAGGAAGAGGATGGTTCGGCCGGAGCAATGTGGATGGTTACATCAACGGCAAGATTGCTACAAGTGGCATGAAGTTGCAGTGAGAAATTCTCAAAGATTCAATCTTTTGCTGATAGATTATGAATTGATACGATATGATCTTCAAGATTCAATCTTTTGGTTGATGATTCGATCTTGGGGGGGTTTGTCTTGTTCCGCTGTGTTCATTCTTGTTCTTATTGATGTTTGAGCTCTTCGGTGAATGTCTTTTGTCTCCATTTTCTCAAGATTTTGATAATATCGGATTCTATGATTGATCAGATCATCCGAAAATCTCGGGTTAATGCCTCTTTTCATTTTAATCATTCGTAGATTGCTTTTCTTTGCCCCCTTTATGTTTTTTTTTTCTCAAGTGAAAAAACAAAGCTCCCATCATCACTCCATTTGCAATCTCAAAGTCAAAAAGGGACAGAAACAAACAATATTTAGAAAAAGGAGAAGAATGACGACCTTTAATACCATAAAAGAGATGAAAACAAAAGCTTGTTATTTAGATAAAACTTGAACAGTTGCAGGAGACATGAACAAAGGTACTTGTATATATACACACATAAACAAGCAAATACTTCCAAACCAAATCTAAACAGACCAAACAATACAAGATTCAGAACATCATCGTATCTTGAAACCCTTTTGGCTGCATCAAAGTGCCCGACCAACAGCTTTCTTGTACTTGTAGCGCTTAGCTATCCAGAGATAGACCAAGAAGTTGAGGAAACTGAGAACGGCAAGCAGGTAGAAGAAGTAATCGAGATGGCCATTGTTCAAGTTATCCGGAATCCAACCCTGTTTCCCGTTCTTTCTCGTGATCTTTGTCACGACCGTAACCAGAACCGTGCTCAGGTAGTTCCCTAGGGCGACGGTGGTCAACGACAGCGCTGAACACAGGCTTCTCATGGCATCGGGAGCTTGATCGTAGAAAAACTCTAGCTGACCGATAAAGGTGAAAACTTCAGCACACCCGACAAGAAAATACTGAGGAACCTGCCAGAAAATGGACATCGGGATCTGTTTCTCGTCAAACGCATGGTGGGTTCTGACGTAATCGAGCCTGATGACCTCGAGGACTCCTGCAGTGATCATGGCGAAAATGGAGATCACGAGGCCGATTCCCATACGCTGAAGCTGAGTGAAGCCTCGTTCATGGCCCGTGTACTTTCTTGCAAACGGGACGATGACCTGATCGTAGACGGGAGTCCAGAAGAGAACGCTGACCGTGTCGAATAGGGAGAGAGAGGCAGAAGGGATCTCGAAGTGTTTGCCCATGTGTTGGTCCATCGTGTTGCCTTGGAGGACGAACATTGTGTTCATTTGGCTGTAGACTGTGGCAAAAACTATTCCCGAGGCCCATACCGGGAGAAGTCTGATTATGGATTTGAGTTCTTCGACTTGTGTGACTGTGCAGAGTCTCCACAGGTTTATTTGTCCATCTTTGATGCTGTCGGATTGAGTTTCCACCGCAGCTTTGTCGAAGAACCTGTGAACAAAAAAATACGAAGATGGGGTTAGAAATCTGAGAAATGTGAGTGAGGAAATGAATTTTCTGAAGCATCTTCTTGAATTTTCGGGTAAAACCATAGAGTATACGCACCGATTGGTTAAACCTTTATTGATTTGGTAAAGATCAAAACTCTCAGAAAAGCAAGAATTATAAACCCGAAATCCAGTTCTTCTTTTGAAAGGGAAAGATCCAGGAAAAAAGTCTGAAAATCTTATCGACTTCCCGGGGAATGGAGACATATGACCTCAAAACAAGAAGATCTATCTAAATAAAGATGGGAAAGCTTTTTCTTACTTTAGCTTGTCCGTGTGGGCGAGCTTCCGGCTACCCTTGATATTGCTCTCTTCATCTGCGGTTTCGTAGAGCAGAGACTTATCCTCTGGAACCTTCACACTCATCTTTCTGAAGGCCGCGACTATGACTTGAAAAATACGCGTCAATGGACTCCCCCCGGGTCTCTGAAGCCGGTAATAACGGCTTCCAGCAAAGAAAAAGATAACCGCAATGGCCATTGCCACCGCAGGAATACCGAAACCCCATCCCCAGCCCACGTTCATTTGGATCCAGACAAGAACGGTTGCAGCAATGAGAGCACCGACGTTAATGGAGAAGTAAAACCAGTTGAAGAAAGAGCTCTTCTTCTTCTTCTCGGCCTCGTCATTCTCATCAAACTGGTCTGCTCCAAAGGACGAGACACATGGCTTTATGCCACCTGTCCCTAGAGCAATCAGATATAGCGCAACAAAGCAGACGGCTACCTGACCCGAGGTCGGGTGACAAGTGTCGCCGGTGCAGTTGGATGGCCTGATTCCAGGAACCGAAGCTGATAATGTCAAAAGGGTCATGCCCTGCAAGAGAAGAAACCTAAGTCACATAAATGGAATAAATGACGACGAGTTGATACTAACGGGAAAAAACAGGTTTCTGAGCGGAAAAACTCACGGAGACGTAGATGAAAACGAAGATGGCAATGGTCCAATACCGACCAAGATAAGCATCAGCAAGAAATGCTCCAATCAAGGGAGTTATGTAACAAGTTCCCGACCAGTTCGTGACATTGTTCGCAGCCGTGGCATTGCCTTGATTCATACGCTTTTCGAGATAATTCACCAGGTTAGTACCCATCCCATAGTACGCCAATCTCTCACAGCATTCATTTCCTAAATGGATACACAGATCAATCATTTCCATATATGCAAGGGGTTTCCGCAAGGGAACGAGCGAAAAAAATACGTTTTCAGACGATAGAAAGTTACCTAGAATGAATCGACAAGCTTTCCAGTTGCCGGTTTTCTCCTTGTTTGCCGGGTTTTTGTTAATATCCACCGTTCCATCTTGCGTATAGACATCCTTCTCTTCCATTGTGATTTTCTATCTCCCAACCCAAAGCTTCAACTAAACTGTTGCAAGAAAAATTACAGTCGAATCCCAAACCAACCATCAAAGTGGCATCAGGAGAATCAATCAGACAATGTTTTCGATCAAACATGCATTTAAATTCCTCAAACTATGATCAAAATCGCTTCAAGAGAACCGAGCAGATAGATTGAAGAGAATTCAAGAAGCTATGAACTTGTATATATATACCAGAATATGATGATTGAACGAGAAATTTCCCCGAATTCTAACTTCACACGGAACTCTTACATGCCAGAATACGACGGATAAGGAAATTCATGATCTCGGATTCAGTTTTCGGGAAAAAGCAAGCAACATTCCGAAAAACCCAGATGAACATAACCGAAGATTTGTCGGTAAAATCAGAATTTTGTTCATCTAATCCAAAATAAGAAACACCAAGAGCAACACAATAAGAGATTCAGAGAATTAAGTCCAATGATGAAAACTTCAAGACAGATTTTGAGACAAACCCTTGTCGGAGACGGAAGTCGACGGAGACCGCCGGAGAAATCGACGTCGGAGAAGGTGACGAGAAGATTATGAGAAGAGAGTCGCAGTGGATTTAGAGGAAAATACATGCGTACACTCCGTTCAACTTTATATGCTTTGAATTAAAAGAGTGTGCGCTTTTCTTTGAAATTTTCGATATGATCCTCTAACTTTTATTATTTATAGTTTAGGTCCAAAACTTTTTGTGCTGTCTTTTTTCCATCCGATTTCGATGTGAAACCTAAATTAGAGATATCAAAGGACTCTACGTTTTTTGGACTCAATTATTGGCTTTATATATCAGAAAAAACAAACAAGACAAAGTGTGAAACCAAAGTTTGGTCCAAAAAGAAAATTTTAAATTTTCCACTAATACCACTAAAAGAAATGACGTAAACTTTGCGTCACAATTTATTAAAAACGTGTTCACATTGATTACATGCTTTAAATATATAACAAAAAAGTATATTTCAAATTCTTTTTTAAAAAAAATATTACATACCATGATTTTACTACCAAATACAGTTTTAACTCCAGACTAATAGATTCAATAATATTCACCAATAATATATACAGTTGTGAAATTTAAAAAGTTATGGGGTGTATTGGGATTAAGGTTAACTTAAGGGTACAATACAAAATAATAACAAATGAAATACGCATGTGAAGTACAGCTGGTGGATTTTTCTACGAATCTTTTAGATTTTTAAGATTTGGATGTACTTGGACTTAAAATGTTGACTTTGTTACTCCGATTTATTTATTTGTTTTTTTTTTAAATTACAAATAATTCGGAAAAAAAAATACTTACTTTCACGTTTCCATATCAAATGCCTTGTTGAAATTCTCCTCCAATAATTTTTTTTATAAAAAAACTAACCATAATTAATTAATTAATTAATAAAATTTGATTATCTTGTAAGCATAAAAAAAACATAGGTTGACTTTGGAGAGACTGACACCCAACCAACTGTCTTCGCGGGTCAACCACACAAGCATTACTCGTGTTTATGTTTCGGTATTAACATCAAATCAATGCATAATTCAATTTTTGCTTGTTCACTAACATATGAAGATTGTAGAAATTGAGATTTAAAAATATCGTAAAATTATGAAAACCGTCTAAAAAAATTAGATCAAAGGATTTTTTTTTGAAATGCATTATTTAATCTAAATTCAGTTAATTTCCATTCATAAACTTCTAAATCATACGGTATATATGGACTCGCAAAATTTTAAATGATGCAGGTAATGAGTTTTTATTTGGATACAAAATTTTAAAAATATAGTTAATGTTGATACACAGTAATCTGCGTTTATATTACCAAATTAATAATCCATAGATTTATACAAAAAAACATAATTTCACATAGATTAGATTGAGCTATTGTTTTTCCTCTATAGAAATCAAATCCTACGTGTAATATTATTTTAATGAGACCACTGACCCAAATATAAATTATGGTTTTCCCCATTGGATGTGTCATTTTCAGGAGACAGTCACAGTATCATTAATTTGTTATCATAACCGCAACATGGAAATTGTATATTTTAATTATACTTTCACAATCTGTCTGAGAGTAGCCAAACTGCTTGCCGTTTTTCTTTTCTGGTCAAAAAATGGTTGCTATTTTATGTTAGCTCTATCCAATCTGATCTGACCATCACAACACAACCAACAATAGCCATTGAATGCGAAGGCGTGGCAAAAACGACTCTCTCAAATCCGAACCGGCACGCAATTCGATTCCCCCATCCATAAACACCACGCTAGTTTTGATCCCATCGACCCGCGAGCCCTGCGTGTATATATAATATATATGGGAGGGAATATATGCATTGAATTTGACATAACATGAGATAATAAAACCATTAAATGATGATAGCTCATTGGCCACACTTTTTTATTGGGAGGCGATTCATTCGTTACATTTAAAAAATGTTTTTGGATTGTGCAAATTAAGAAACCCAAAGAAAATAAAAGACAATTTTTTATTTTTATTTTGATTTTTTTTTAATTTTTGGAGGGTATATGTTAAAAGAAATCTTCAATTTACAAAATTTCAATAAAACAAGTCTACCTCTGACACTTTTTTTATAGAAAATATTGAATTTCTTAATTGTTTCCGCGATTGAATGTTTTCACGTCAGTACTGCAATGTTATTTTACGAAAGTCCGAACATATAACATCAATGAAAAAAAATGTAAAACCGAAAAAATAAGAATATACGGTGAATATTAAATTAAAAAAATTGAGGAAAAAAATTAATAAAATGAGCTAGACTAACAAAAAGATTGAATTCAATAATAAAAACGATCAAACATAGGACTTGAATATATAACGACTTACATTTACTAGGGTCCAAAAAATGGTTAAGATCCACCAGTGGTGGGTTGCCTTAATGTGTTCAATCACAAGGTAGGCCCAAAGGGCCGCTCCCGTCCCTGTCAGGGGAGATGCCAACCATCTCTCCTTTTCTACGAACACAACTATTAATTTCTTCATTTCTGTTTATATAATGTATAAATATTCTCTAACTTTTCGATGTGGGACATTTAATGTCTATTTGGGCCTATTTTCGGCCCATTAGATACGGCAACAATGGTCTCGCCCAACCCTTCCCTTTCGGCCATTTTGTGTAGAGAAACGAAAATCCATACCACGTCAAATGCTGAAGTTTTCATTTTGAAAATAAATTTCTACAGAACATCGAAATATGGGATAAATATGAAACATTATACTATATTGACTCTGGAATTGATGCTATTTGTTCTTTTTTCAAGTTAAATTATGAAATTAAATAAAATAATATTATTTAATAGCCCAACTACGTGAGAGAAGTTTTGTTTTTTTTTTTTCTCGTAATGATTATGCAAATATATTTCGTTTATCATGTTATATTTTACTGGGAGTTATCATACAATGTCCCCGAAGAATTATTTTACCATGGGGGGTACCTAACATTAATATAGAAGTAAAATAATCAAGTTGGGAAACACAAAAAAAAAATCAGACTCCTTATAATGTTTTTTTTGTTGTTGTAAGATTCTTTATAATGTTTTGTAAATTATGACGTATTAATGTCTAATGTAATTAACTTTTGTTAAACCTTAAAAAAGGACAAAAAAAAAAGGAAAGAACATTAGAACCGGAAGCTAGGGTCCGATTTCTTCCATGTCTGCCACTGCCGCCTTCTGTTCCAATCCACACGTGGAATTAACCCCTAAACCTTTAAAACTCCAAAACATAATAAATAAACTTTAATAATAAATAAATCGAAAATAAAAAAGATATGAAACAAACGAAAGTGGGAAAAGATTCATAAAATCAAGAAAACTGGGAAACAGCCAAAAGGCTGTGTATGGCTTTCTGAAAATTCAACGGACCATCGCCTAATTTTAAATAAATAAATAAAATAGGGATATTTGTATTATTTTTTTTTTCATAAATTCATCCTATGCAAAAACAAAGTATTAAAAATTTAAAATACCTTACGCTGCGGCGATTTTTTAAATTAATAAAAAAAATCAATAATTTATAATGTCATTTATTTTATTTTATTTGTTTCCAAAATATGGGAGAAAAAAGCTTTTCATTAAACCCTTCTTTGGGGAACTTTGGCTAGTCAACTAATATAATATTATTTAACGACAGGCTTTATGGTATTTATATAGTGGACCTTTAACTAACCGAAAATATCCCCTTTCTCATTTTGCATTTTTCTGCTTAAAAAAACATTGGGATAAACACACCCCTAAGGTGTTTGGTATATTTCCTTTTCTCCATCAATGAGGAAATACACGGAAGATAATATATTTTTTTATAGAACACGAATTATTTTAAACGATGTTTAATTATAAACCGATATATTTAGATTAATCTTCATTTATTTTTGAATTAATGTACAAAAACGGTAAAAGGTTGATTTCAAAGCTTTATTCTGAGGACAAAATTCGAATTTCTAACATTTGATTAAGGAATGAAAACCATCTTCACCAACTCTTTAGATTAAATTTAGACAAGACAGTTTTTATATTAAAAAAAAAACATATGAAAACATATCTAGAACACGAATATTTGTATTAAAAAATGGAATCCAAATATAAATCTTAAATGGACTAAAATTTGATATAAAAAAATGAATACATATAATATTTTAAACATAAAAAAAGTTAGATTAGATAAAAATCTGAAAAGAAATAGGTCTTAAGATTCAAAATGATGTCATCAAGCGTTTGTATATGGCACCATATAGAGACAATTGGAGAACGTTGTACAAATATACAATTCGCATATATGAAATTGTGATTAGTAGTTTTTTTAATTATTATAGATAACCATTTCCAAATTGTTATTAACATTAATGCTCCTAAATCAAATTTTTATGTATTCATGTATTTTTTATGGTATGATGGGAGAGGTTGCAGAGTCGAAGTCCGGACAAGTCTCATGTGGTAGTGTGCCCAAAAAGCAAAGCATCTACACATACACGCACATATACATACATACACATACATACATACATAAACATATACATAATATATATATATATATATGTATGTATTGAATCGATTCAAATAGTTCGAATAAATTTAATAAATTATTTAATAAATGAAGAATAAACTCAACGTTGTTTAACTTCAATTTTAAATTGTGAGGTAAATATTTTTCTTAACAAGAATTCGGCTCGAGACATAAAGTATAACGAGTTAAATATTATTTAAATCTCGCTCGTGCTATAGAATAATAAGAATCCGATTTTAAACAAAATTACATTTGTATTTTTGGGAACAGAAGATGTAATTAATTAATTAATAAAACCCGATATTTTGTTTAAGAAATAAATAATCGATTAAAAATTAAAATAACGAAACCTCGTCACTCGTCACAACTCCATACTAAAGCTTCCATCATCACTAGTGTTATAATTTCTCCGGCACCACATATTGTTCATGTTTCTCTTTTCAGTGACTAGTAATTATAATAGAAACGAATATGAGCAAAATGTCACACATTTGATTATCTAACTTTGGTTTATATTACGAATACGATAATCACATTAAAACAAAAAACAATATTTTATTATCTTATCACCATTCTAAACCGAAACACAACTAATTAAAAAAAAATGTTACAAAATGATTAGAGGTTTTTCATTTCGCACCCTAACATGATTATTATATTTTGAATGCTAATAGTTAAGAAAATCTGGATAACTTGAAATTTAAAAATCGAGTTTATGAAACTAATAGAATTGAGCTTATTGTAAGCCTAAGAGCAATTAACTCGAATTTACAAAATTAAAAAGAATTGAATCCAATTTATAGTTATCAAGTCATACACATCAATTAGATTGAATGGTGATAATTATTTTTTTTTAGTATTTTGAGTAATTTTAAGAGATAAAAAAAACATATAGGAAAAATAGGCTTTTATTATTATTTTTTAAATGATGTATGACACAATTATCACATCTCCTTCATGCGCTGCCTATGAGATTATCATATTGTTTCGCATTACGTTGTGGAGCCCTTTGAACTAAACATGACGGTAAATTTACTTTAAAAAACATTATTAGAAATTACGGTGAATTTATTAAAAAATTTATGTATATGTTAATATATTTTTATTTAATTTGGATTTTATATAATATAAAAAATTATATTAAAATTAAATTATTTCATCATTTTGAATGCATTCAATTATATATTAATTAACTTTGTTTAATTGGACTAATGCAGTCAATGGAATTTTGATAAATTGTTTTTAAAATATTATAGTAGAATCCTAATATGATACATTTTAGAAAAATTACAAATATCATATTTAAATCCAAACTATTTAAACTTCTCAAGTAGTAAATTAGGGTGTATATTAAAAAAAAATATTTTCAAAGGTCATATGTCATAAATTCTATTAGAGTCTATATTGAATTTTAAATTGCAAACTAGATCTTAATAATAATGATAGTATCCGAAATTCTACGTAAGGTCAAATGTCAGAATCTTAATATTTTGATTTAAAAAAGAATAAAAAACGAGTGATATCTTATCTTATAATAATCATTCGTGCACCAGGAAGTCAGACAAGTACCATGGAAACATTTTGACCAAATGATATATAATTATTGTTTCCTTTTCCTTTAGATGCCAAATAAGTTAAGACAAAAATTAAAAAAGGTAATCTTGTATTATATAAATTTTCATGTGTTTAAATGAGAAAAATTATATTAATAAAAATTATAAACAAATTTACATAAATAACATAAGGATAACAATTTATTAACATTTGATATTTAATAGCTAAGTCTTTTCATAAATAGAGAAGAAAATACATACATATACAACTGATATTTTTAAAATATTTATTAATTGAGATGATAATATTTATTATATGGTATGTATATTTATAATATATTCGATAATAATAATATATCATTTTACCACTTTTAAAACTTAATATTTTCATAAATAATTTTGTTTTAACAAAACTAGTTTTTTTATTAAAATTTTAAAAATATCCCAATGTTTGATCAACCAAACTCTTATATACTAATTTAAAAAAATGTCTAAAAATATAATGAAACTAATATCTGTCTCATAACTTAAATCGAAAAAAATATTTTGAAAGTGTAAATTCTACAATATTGGATAATTACCTATTTCTATAGTTTAAAATAATAAAATGATATAAAAATTATAAAATTGAAATAAACAACTCGAACAGTGTTTGGCCTGAAAACTATATGTGAAATATCCATGTTTATAAAAAATAATTAGATGTAAAAAATATATTTATAGAATTAAGTGTAATAAACTATTAAAATATAAAAAAAGTATGAATATTTTTGGTACTATACCAACCAAAGCCATAATAAATCATAACATGCAGTAGATTTTGAAATTTTGACGCTGTTTTGTGTAGTTATAATTTGAATATAGATTATTATAATGATTTATTAAAAATGGTAGTAATCATAACTTTAGTTAATTTAAAATTAATCCATCGGCCGATAATTGTTAATTAGGCTATATATCAAGTGTTGACGTCATGCACGCGTCACGCAAGCCACCTCAAATATTTCGCAATTTGACCGTAAGTACGTAGAGAAACACAATAGGCTGACTCTTCGAGGGATTCGTGTGTCTCAAATTCGAAGCGAATTAAATTATATAATATGTTAATTCCAAAGTTTTTAATTTAAAAAAAAGGAAGAATATTGAGAATTAAAATAAAGGAATAAAACAAGCGAATTGTGGAGACAATAACAAAATAGAGTCGCCCGAACGGCTCCCTCCACTGTCGTATAATAAGCTTTTATTAGGCATATTTTCCACTGTTCCGTGGATTTGTACTTAGATACGAAATCGTATAAACTACGGTTCATGTTTCCAATAACTTTTTATTTAATGCTGAAAATCATAAATGATATGGTTTACTGTATTTTACCATCGACTTCGGTGAAGATTATTGTGTCGGCCCTTCAAATATTAATTTGCATGTCAAACGTTGATGGGTCGAATTCTACATACGGACTTCAGAAATACGTAAAACCAAACCGGTTCTCTCTTTTCAGGAATATTCAAAAACAACATTTTTAATAATCGTTATTTTTAAAAGTAGAATCTCGAAATGACTAAGTTAAAACTTTTCTCAATTTAATTTAATTTTATTTATAATTGTACCTATTTCGATTGTTGTATTATTTGGAGATTTGGATTAAATCGGTTAAGACCGGTTAACATGTTCGCCTGGAAAAAAATATACACAAAAAAGAAAGGGTAGTTTCGGGAGCATAAAAAATCGAAGTGATGTTGGGCCGAGAAAGCAACCCGCACCAACCCGACAAATCCCGGGTCGTGGGAGACAATTTAGTCTGCTTTCAAATTCCTTTGCTTTCGTTTATTTGTTTTATTATAATCAATTATATTATTTTTATTATCAACTATATTATTTTCTTAATCACGAGTATAATTCGATTAAATTATTTTTAATTAATTATACAAAATTTTATAATCAAGCATATTATTTTTTTTAAATCGCGAGTATACACGATTAGCTGGATTAAGAAAATAACATAAAATATCGCTTGTTTAGAATATATATATATATATATCGTAATATAACACGGAAATTGAATCCATTGAAAAAGTCTAAACTTAATTTATCTGGGTTATTAATTGTAAAAAAAAATTAATAACATCGTTTAAAGCTCGGTGGCTATGTGGCTCCACCATTTTATGATGTGTAGTCTCCCCCATGTGATGAGAAGATACGAATATATTGTTTTACCATATTATCAATTCTTCATCAGCTATCATTGATTAGATTCTAAAGAAATAGCACTAAACGATATCATTAGGCCTTTGTGAAATTAAACACTAAAAGTTCCCGAAATTATTATTATTATTATATATGGATCCAAAAGAAATTATTGGTTCACAAATAAAAATGGAAAATGGGTTAGTAACACAAAGTGATTATAGAAAATGAAAACTCTATACGTACGCAACCATATATTATATCATAACACGTGAAATTATTACATTTCATACATGCGTTACAATATTTTCTAAAATTTTCGTTGGCTTTAGTAGTCAAAAGATGCCGAAAGAAATATCTGAAAAAAGGGGAAATATTTTACGAGGACAAAAAAAAAAACAAAAAGCCGAAAATTTAAGAAAACCTGCGTGGGCCCACTAGTCGATAATGGGCTCTGCGGGAAAGCCGACCGGAATAAAAATAAATAGCAAAAACATAAAATAAATAATAAAAAAAAAACAAAAAATAAGAAAATAAAAAGAGCATCTTTTAATTTTATACGATGAAACGACGGCGTGTGGGGGCGTAGGTGTTGATTGCGCGCGTGAGTTCGTGGTTCGGCTTGAGCCGGGCCGATATGAATTGCAGGGTGAATCACTTTGAATTAATATTGATAAATAATTAATTTTGGTAAAATTCGTTTCTTTAAAGGTATCATAAAAAATAAATAATAGATTACAGAATCAATCGTATAATTTGCTTCGATATGTCCATGTTGACGGGCTTTTTAATTTGTCAAGCAAACTTCAGTTTCTTTGTTGCAGCTCTAACACTGTTGAAATAACTCCATAAACAACAAGTGAAATGGTAAAAAAATCACTAAAATTTATTTATTTAAATATTAAAAATTGTATATTCAGGGCTATCTTTTTTTTTAATTTGTTTTTCGATCTTGGTCTCAAATTTTTATTGCCGATGTTTTTGGTATAAAAATATCTTTCCCCAAAAAAAAATTGATGGATATCCCAGATTATTGATAGAATTATTTTGGGGAACAAAATAGAGATGATTTGTGAGCACTTATATTGATGAATCGGATAAATAATTAAAATGGAGAAAATACATAAATGACTTCCAATTGGGTTGCCTTGTTAATGCAAATTGTAAGGGTTATACATTAACTACAGTTATTAATAAATGCAAATTGCCTAATTAGAAGGTGAAAAAAAAAAGTTATGCGTAAATCAGAAGCAATGGATTGGGAATGACAGAGTCAGGGAAGGCTACAGTTTCTGCTCTGAGATTAAAGACGACCTGTAAGATTGCCACTTTTACATAAATACATTCACTCACAAAGTAATAAATAATATATATATTATTAATATTTGTATTGGCTGGCTGGGGTACTCTGTCATAGTTTTCTTCCTGTCCAGTAAAAAAAATCTACCAGCAGTTAAAAAATGTTGTAGGCAATTCATTAGATAAACCAGGGGGTAATTAAAAATGTTGTCATTCTATACATATACGGTTCATGGTTGTGTATTTTACACGTATACAACTATTGAAACCAAAATTAAAATAAGCAAAATAAATAAATAAATAAATAACCAAAGCAGTAGAGAGAGTGGAGAGGGAGGATATATAGAAAGAGGATCGGAGGGCTGGATCCTGAGGCATATTAGTATATAGGTCTCATTCCTTGTTGATCAGAACAACGTCTCTCTCTCTCTCTCTCTCTCTCTCTCTCGTACTGCCATTTTCACTACCTTCTCAAGAATCGATCCTCTGTGTCGCTGCCTGTGGCTTCTCCTTCTTATCTGTTTTGTGGAGACACACACAAAGAAAAGGAGGGCGATTAATAAAGAACAGAAGACGAACAGTTTGGTTTTGTTGGTCGTGTTTCATTCCCCTTCTTCTGTGGTAAGAACACGTAAGTACTGTTCACAAAAAAAAAAAAAGAGTTTCTGCGACTGTAAAAAAAGAAGAAGAAGATATTTTCCCGAAGAATTTTCTGACTTTTGTGTCGTCCTAATGCAGGAGAGGAGTAAGAAGACCAAGAACTGCTGAGAAAACGGATCTTTTCACTCTCTTTCTAGGTCTCCGTAGCCGTCTTCTTCACCCTCTTTTTCCCCGTTTTGTTGTACTTTCATTGAATCCGTTTCTCTCTGACTCCTGTCTGAATTCGAGATCTCTCAGTCCCCAAGATTCTTTTCCTGTTTCAGCCTAGCTTTATCCACTCTCTCTCTCTCTCTCTCTCTCTCTGTGTTTCCTCTTCCGCAAAGTAAACAAATTCCGAGAAAAACACAAGGGGTTTGCTCTGAAACGCTTCGTTTGATGGGTGTTTCAGATCTAGTGGCAGAGACAAGAGATCGAGACGACAAGGAAAATGTCGACGGCGGTGAAGCAGGCGGAGGAGGCTATAGTTCCGAGCTCGAACGATACAGAGAGTGATCAGATCATCAACAGTAACCATGTCGGAAAAGAAGACGAGATCTCTCCCTCCGGTGGTTTCAGCTTCAAGACTTTCCTCTGGCATGGCGGCTCCGTCTGGGACGCCTGGTTCAGCTGCGCCTCTAACCAGGTACACACACACAACACATCATCATAACATAACCCATCAAATTCTTGTTTTGATTCATGAAACATGTTGGAAATTTCGGATTTTGAAGACGACCCATCATCAAGAACATGATTTCTCAGAGACCCATCAACGGATAAACTTCGAGAAACTGTGGAAACTTTCGGTTAACAAATCTGCGAATTTCGAGTGTGTATAGGTTGCGCAAGTGCTGTTGACGCTGCCGTACTCGTTCAGTCAACTCGGGATGTTGTCGGGAATAGTTCTTCAGATCTTCTACGGATTGGTCGGAAGCTGGACTGCGTATCTGATCAGTGTTCTCTACGTTGAGTACCGAAACAGGAAGGAGAAAGAGGGCAAGAGCTTCAAGAACCATGTCATCCAGGTCACTCTCACACACAGTATTTATGATTACGAATAATCCAATTCATTTTTGTATTTTATAAATTAAAATCAATTCCCCTAATTCGTGAAATTAACGACAGTGGTTCGAAGTGCTCGACGGGTTATTAGGTCCGTATTGGAAGGCAGCCGGACTTGCCTTCAACTGTACTTTCCTCTTATTCGGATCTGTCATACAACTCATAGCTTGTGCAAGGTCTGTTATGAATCTCTATTTTTAATCACCATTGTAATTTTTTTTGTATTTTTTTTTATGAATTTGTATGGTTTTATATAGAATTTTTTCTTTTTTTAAAATAAAAACTCTAATTACGAATTATATTACAATTGAAATTTGGTGCAGCAACATATACTACATAAACGATCACTTGGACAAGCGTACGTGGACGTACATATTCGGGGCGTGTTGTGCGACCACCGTATTTATACCGTCTTTCCACAACTACCGTATCTGGTCGTTCCTCGGCCTCGGCATGACCACCTACACCGCTTGGTACCTCGCCATCGCCGCCCTCATCCACGGCCAGGTATATATATCTCTATATATATATACGCTTATGTATTATATTATATATATATATATAGTTAATTTTCTTATCCTTTACCGTATTTATGCCTATTCGTATACTTCAATATTTGTTACCGAAATTAATTTAAATATATGAAAAGTCTAAATGGATTAATAAAACAAATGAATTACTGTCGTTGTCAGATTATTGCTTTTAAATGAGGTGACAGTTTATGCCCATTTATGTTTCTTGTGTTTTAATTAATTAATTAAATCCACATTTTATCTTTTAGGGATTGGGAATAATTCCTTGCATCTGACCAAAATATGTGACTAACTTTTGAATAAAAGTTCGATGTGCAATTATAGCATATGATATATTTTTTTGGCACTGTTATATATTCTCCAATCAAAGTGTTAATTCTTTTTTTTTAGCTGTAAAGCTGTATTTTATTTTACTCCTTAGACTTATATATATATATATATATGTTTTTAAATTGTAGGCCGAAGGTGTCACACACTCCGGTCCAAAAAAGCTAGTGCTTTATTTCACCGGAGCCACCAACATCTTGTACACGTTCGGTGGCCACGCAGTAACTGTGTAAGTGTAACGTAAATTATTTTATTGTACCGTACCGTGTAAGTATATAACGTAAATTTATCGTTATAGTCATCCTAATAAATTTCTATACTTACCAATTTAAAATTATTTCTTTTGGTCGCCAATAAAACAACAGTAATAATTACCCCTGCAAAATTAAGACCTTTTTAACTTACCACTAAGCCTATATATATATATATATATATATATATGTAAATACCATAAAATTATTACCAAGGGTAAATGCCAATTACGCCCCTCGTTGACCTTGCGTAATCATTATAATTATATATTGATTGTAATTATTCAGTTGTTTAATTTTGTATTGTGAAAAAAAAATGGCAGAGAGATAATGCATGCGATGTGGAAACCACAAAAGTTCAAGTACATTTACTTGCTGGCGACGCTGTACGTATTCACGCTAACGCTTCCGTCAGCGGCCGCCGTTTACTGGGCCTTTGGGGATGAGCTTCTCGACCACTCCAACGCCTTCTCCCTCCTCCCCCGCACCGCGTGGCGTGACGCCGCCGTTATCCTCATGCTCATTCACCAGGTCTTTCATATATTCCTTTTATAAATAAAAATATTTATAATGCGTGATATTACATCGTTTGATTTAATTTGATCTAGGTTAGCTTTGGTTAGAATTTATTTACAATTTTTTATTCGTGTATTTAAGAAACTGGTTCTTCATTTTTTTAATGAATAATACAGAAACAAGTTTACTTGGATATTTTGATAATTTGGTTTTAATCCATAAAGATGTGGGCTAAGTTTATATTTCTCATTTCCATATGTATGTATAGTATATACAGCTCATTATATCATTCAAGTGAGAAAAATATATGTTGTACTCGTGTCGGAAATCAAATTGAAACGTATTTTTTCGATATAATTCGATGATGTTAGAAAAGAATTCGTTGGATTTTTTTAGTGAAATGATGAAATTTACATATATAAATATATATAATGTGTGTGATGTGCAGTTTATAACGTTCGGGTTCGCGTGCACACCGCTATACTTCGTGTGGGAGAAGGTGATAGGGATGCACGATACGAAGAGCATATGCGTGAGGGCACTGGCTCGTTTGCCTGTCGTCATCCCCATATGGTTCTTAGCCATCATCTTCCCTTTCTTCGGTCCCATCAACTCGGCGGTCGGCGCCCTTCTCGTCAGTTTCACCGTCTACATCATCCCCGCCCTCGCCCACATGCTCACCTTCCGCTCCTCTTCCGCCCGTCAGGTACGTACCTCTTTTCTTCTTCGGCAATTTCATAGCTGAGTTCTATATTGGAGATGGGTTTAGTCCGGTTTGGTTTGGTAACGTCATAATAAACCGGACCATGTCAAAATAAACCAATTTGGTTTTAAATCGGTCTTTTAACACAACCGGTTTTCAACAGGAATATATTCTCACCCGAATTCAAATACTTATACATCATCTCTATTTGGTAATCAAACAATAAAAAATGTTATTATAATAAAATAAAATAAATCAAACTAAAACCAAATTGGTCTAAATCCATCGACAATATTTTTCGTACCCTGATATTTACAACCCCAATCTATTCCCACCCGAATTCAAATGCTTATGCACTATCTGTTTTGCTACAAATGGTTCTAGTCGTTGTAGGGTAGGATCGTAAATATACTTACATTATAGGGGTATAACCGTCTTTAGAAGATGAGTGGGGTTTCGAAGCTCCGTATTTTACGGAAGATCACACACATTCTTTGTTGGTGTTCCCTCCAATAATTCGTCTAGTTGGTTTAGACATATCCACAAAATCGTATAAAAAAAAATTAAGAACTTTGTATATATAGATGTTGAACATATATTTTAGATTTCTGACTAAAATTTATAGTAAAATGTATTTTTCTCCTCCTATTTTCAAAAATTAATATTTTTTATTGCACATATAAGATAAATATTTAATAACGAGTTGGTAAATTAGGTAAAAAAAGGCGGAAAAAAGAGTGAATTTGGGGGGGGAAATGGAGGGATAGGTATGTGTCCTTATCAAGAGGAGTTTAAAGAAAGGGAAATATGGGAGGGAGATGGAACATTATGCCCCAAAGCCAATCAAACCTCTCTTTCTGTAACATTCATCGGAGTGACAATTTATTCAAATGTGTGTTTGAAAAAGGACAACTTAGGGTTTTTTTGTCAATAACTACCAAAACTATTTGACCGCTCTCTCTCTTTTGTCCCTTTCTCTCTTTGCCTTCTTCCCCCCTAACCCCTTGGTACGTGTCTCTTCCATTATTCATCACCGCTTAGAAACCTAAAAAAAGGAAAGAAAGGACAGCCCATTTGGATTTATCTTTTTGTTTTTTCTTCCACGTGTTCATGGGTTTTGATTTGAAGATATAAAGTCTCGATCTTTGTGGTCCAAATGGTCTTCTCTAATCAAGTTTTTATGTGTATTTGCTTGCTCGTATCCTTAACCAAGTAGAAAACAGTTTTTTTTAAAGTTTGAAATCTAATTATAACATTAATATTATCTATAAACTCAAAAAAACTATATGATTATCGATGTTGACATTATAAATAACATGTTTATATGATTGGTTTTGGTTATATATTTATGATTACAGAATGCGGCGGAGAAGCCACCACGGTTCATGCCGAGTTGGACGGCAATGTACGTATTCAACGCGTTCATAGTGGTGTGGGTCTTGGTCGTGGGTTTCGGGTTCGGAGGATGGGCAAGCGTCACTAACTTCGTCAAGCAAGTCGACACTTTCGGCCTCTTCGCAAAATGTTACCAATGCAACCCGCCGGTTCCTCCTCCCGGCTCGTCCGTACGCCACGGCCGCTGAGCACGGTTGGTTCCGTACGTTTTTTTTTCCGATCGTAATCTACGAGAGAGAAAAAAACCCGGTCCTAATATGCCGTCTATGCAGATTTGACTTTGCTTGTTCTGTATTCTTATACGTGAGGGGAGTGCCCTTTGAACGCGATGAATGATGCGTGCTAATGTCTTTTTTTTTTCCCCCTTTTGGGGTTTTTTTTTCTTTCTCTTAGCTGATTAATATAGTTGATAATATAGTGTGTTGATGATTGAGTTGTGATTTCTTATTTTGGTAATGAAAACAATAGAGGGTCAAATGGGTTATATATATTTGTTACTTTTAACTGTATTTATGGATAATTTCACGTTAAGATGTATCAAATTCTATAAATGTTATCAAATGGTGAAATAAATATACAAGCAAAGGCTTTGGTGCGGATTCGGGAACGTGGACATGTTGGCATATGATGTAATGGGCCGTGGACCTAGCCACTGCCACATGGGTTGCACGTGGGCTCCTCTCACTGTCACGTGCCATTATTTACTCTCCGCTCCTCTCTCTCTCTCACATAAATGGCATGTTCATACATGAATCTTCTTCTCACATATGGTTTCGGTTCACATGTATTTGTTTGTTCTCATAATATTCAGAGCCGTCTCAAAATATTTTGAGGACCCGTACAAAAATTAAATTAAATTATTAAAAATTTTAATTTCATTTAAAAAAATTAAAAATTTAAATATTGCATAGTAATATGTAAATAATATATAGATCATTCTAATGCATTATTTTATTGTTAAATATTGTTGTATTTTGATTTGTTTAAGATTAGATAAAAATATTATTTCAAATTATTTATTTTTATTAACAATAAATTTTAAAATAAATCAATAACAATAAAGAATTTAGAATTCTTCCATCGTATAAACATTATGAAAAATATAATAAAATAATATGTAATTTATATTTATGAACAGTTATGGTAATTTTTTATTTGTTATATAATGTAATTAAATATCAATATTTTTATAAAATTTATAAACTTTTAATTAAAAATTATGGTGTCCTTTAATTGGTGAGACCCTGTGCGAATGCACCTTTCGCACACCCTATAAGACGGCTCTGATAATATTATTAGACAAATGATAAATTATGTATGCATTGTTATTACATCCTCACTCCTATTTGAATTATATATTTTTTTTGGAGATTTGGTAGATATCTATAAAAAATTTCAAATCTCCATGTACCTAAATATATGTGTGACAATATAGAAAAAGAAAATAAAATGTGTGAAACAAAATTTTCAAAAAACAAAAGGCTGACAGCTAGATTCTATATATTGACTATATGTTCCGAGGTAGATAAATAAATTGAACCGGTCCGAATTGATAGAATAGAACTCAAATAAATAAAAAAAAATCTAAACCAACTTTCCTTTTTTTTTATTAAGTTAACTTACTTGGATTACAAAAAATGTCGATATGAACAAATACGATAAGATTTCCTTTTCGATACAGTTCGCTTGTTATCTAGTAATATGAATAGAATCAAACGGTGAATATCTATATATACATATATATATTGTAATGTTTTGGAAGATTGAGTTTTGGGTTTTTGAAAGCTCAAATATTTGTATTATTATTGTATCTAACCTATGCTATGATTTGTTTTCCGGGAGAAAAAAGAAGAAAGAGAATCTATGTGATAATTACTTGAAAAAACTAGCAATACATACATACATACATACATACATACATATATATATATATGTCAATTTGTAGATTCATTTGATGAGATGTTGATACATCAATAGCACAATGGTCATGTAAATAAATGGACCGTCTATGTGGATCCAATGGTAGGTGAAATCAAGTTGGTACGGAGACAGTGAAATTACAAAACGATGAACAGTGAATATTTCAGACCAAAACTCCACTTGGAAAAACACACACACACACACACATATATATATATATATTAAATATGAATGTAAAATTAAAATATGGTACATATTATATAGTACAAGAAAAAAAAATGTAGACGAGACTTTAAATTATGCAGGTAACATGGTCTTTAATGTAATATAAGATCCAACTTTGAACTTTCTATTCCCGATAACCAGACAGTAGCTTCTAAAGATGGTTATTATTATTAATAGGGTTGATTAGGTTATTGATTAAATAATTTGGTAATTAATTAATTCTGAATTACGACAGAGTAATGATTCGGTTAAAGATCCCATTAGACCGCTTCCCGATTTTGTATCAACTATTTTTTTTTTCTTTGTTGGGTTCAATATATTTGCAGAATCTTATTCACTAATTTTTTTTAGATTTTAGTTTAATTCGAAATTAGTTTTTAATAGAAATATTTTTTTCTAAAAAAATTAGTTTAAGCTATTTTTATTTTCTTTAAAACATATTTGATTTAATATTTATTTTATTCTGAAATATTACATCCAATAATTGTTTAGAAACAATTGGAAAAAATGTTGATATTTGAGAATCAATCCAAGTAATTGGTTCTTCGTTACTTAGGCCCATTAAATATGATCAGTTCGAAGAATAAGTTTTACTTATTGGGCTCAAAACTACTGGGCCTAAATAGGCCCAAACAATTAGGCCTAAATGGGCTGCATGCGATTGAGGGTGTTTCGATGTATTAGATAGTATGGAGCCTATACCCCCTCCATTGGCCTTTTGCTTATCCAACGAGACATTATCTTCAACACTGCTGAAGCAGCACTGCAATGGCGTCGCTCATACTCGGTGCTCCTCCTCGAGTCGCCGTGGCTTCATCTCTCAGTGTCTCTTCTTCACGCTTATCATCTTCTCGCTCCGAAACCGTTGGAGTCTCTGTCTCATGCTTCACGCCGTCTCTGTCTCTCTCTGCCCCTACCTCAGCCTCTATTCCATTCGGTACTCTCTGTCTCTTTCTTTCTCGTGTTGCCTTTTTTTGGGTGGACCACGAGTTATAGTTTTGATTATGGAATGTATGCGTGGTTTTAGTGTACTGTGGCCGGGGAGACAGGAAAACAGCGAAGGGAAAGCGTTTCAGCCACTCGTTCGGAAATGTAAGTGTTGCTTCTACGGTGTAGGAGTTTTGCCCGATCGAATCGGTTATCGAACTCTTTGTTAGGATTTCGTGTTTTTCATTACGAATTTCGGCTACGTTTTTTCTGAGATTCGAATTCGGCAGGCGAGGCCTCGTAACAAGAAGAAGGGAAGAGGACCGCCGAGATTGCCGGTGCCTCCGTCGCCGCCGAGGAAGGATAAGTTCGACGACGGAGAGAAAATCAAAATTGAAATCGATGAGTCTCTCTTCTCCAATTAGAACTCTAATTCATCTCTGTAATTCCGAGTAGAGGCCTTGATGCTGCGACTCTTTCGTTGTTAAACATCTATAATTCCTCTTGTTTCTAATGAATCTCTCGTTGTTTCTGTAAATCCTATGCTTTGGTTCGTGCTTTCTTGTTTTGTTTATTTGTTGTTTGGTTAAACTCCCTAAAAACATGTCTGGATAATGTGTTTCAGTAACACGATTCTTGCAGGGGGAGAGGCTGAAAAAACCTTAAAACTAGATTCCAAAACCTTTTAACCACAAAGCAGAAACCGAATCACAGAGACAAAATTGTTTCCTAACTGAAGAGAAAAGGAAGCATGTAGATGGGAATTTACTTAGGAACAAGGCTTTTGTTTCTTGGGATGTTGCTCATGGGAATCTTTAATGTTTAGGCAGCTTGTGCAGTGCGTTGTTATTAGTTTCTGCATTCCGCTTCCTTCCTCTATCTGCGTCCTCCGCGTCACCTTGTTCCATAGATGTATCACGTAACTCCCGCTGCTAATGTCGTTCACTGCCTTCTCTACCCATTTTGCTTCAGTAATGTTTGCAGGCTTCTTGAAAAGCCCGGGAATCTTGATCCAATTCACCGGATAAAAGGCATTTGGTGGAAGGATCGTGAGATTGTATTCAGGTTTGTTTCCTAATCTCTCGATGACCCTTGAAACCAAGTAAGGGCTGTTATGGCCCCATCTGTTTCCGTCGAATGTTGTGGCATACTCGTGCAGGAATTGAAACATGAGGGGATGGTAGATATCGAAGATCATCACTGCGTTGTTTAGCCTTGTCCATCTCCCGGTCACTCTATCCACGCTCTGTGCCCCGATTGCGTTTTGCAGACCCTTCAGGTTGTTCAAGAATATGATATCTGTGTCCAGATAGATCCCTCCGTACTTGTACAGCACTGCAAGCCTTGTCAGATCGGATAGATTCATGAACAAGGGGATAGAGCCCGGATCCATATTCCCGCTCTTCAACCTTTTCAGCCAAGACTCTGCCGGGGTGTTCTTGACAAGAAAGGGTATATCGGGTGTCGCCGCAAGAATGTGGAAACCCTGATCGAGCAATGGCTTAAGGATGTTGTAACCTTTGGGGGAATCCAACGTGTTCGATAAAATCACTAGGCAAGCATCTGGATTGGTGGTGAAGAGAGTATCCACGGCCAAGAGCTCTCGAGGTCCAAAAGACTTGGCCGGCGAAAGCCACACCATGAAGAACTGGGTTGAGCAGTTGTTGTTGAACAACTCCAACACTCTTCCGTGGAATCTCTGGCTCTTGCTTGTCGAATTGAGTATTTCGAGCTCTGGTAACTGTCTCCTGAACCATGCAATTCTCTCTTCCTTGCTCGCCTTAGGAGGAGGTACCAGTGGATCTTTTTCTTCATCCTCCTCTTGTCTGTTTTCTAGACAGTTAACAACTGAACAGCTACTCTCATTGAC